CAAATAACCACTTGAACAACCGAGGTCTGCAGAAGAGCATCTCTGAACACACAACACGTCCAACCTTGAGGCAGATGTGCTACAGCAACAGAAGACCATACTGGTCACCAGAGCTCAATCCAATAGAGCACTTTTGGGATGCGGTGGAACGGAAGATTGGCATCATGGATGTGCATCCGACAAATCTGCAGCAACTGCGTGATGCTATCATGTCAATATGGAGCAAAATCTCTGAGGAATATTTCCAGTTTCTTGTTGAATCTCTGCCATGAAGGATCAAAGCAGTTCTGAAGGCAAAAGGCGGTCCAACCTGGTACTAGTAAGGTGTACCTAATAAAGTGGCCAGTGAGTGTATACCGTTATTTGAGGTCGGTGAATAATTAAACTAGAATTAATCTAGAATGGCAACTATATCAACTATATCTGTCAGTCTCTCCGTCTGTCTGTATTCCGTCCTTCCGTCTGTCTGTCTGTCTGTCTGTCTGTCTGTCTGCCTGTCCGTCCGTCCGTCCGTCCGTCCGTCCGCCCGTCTGTATGTCTGTCTGTCTGTCTGCCTGCCTGCCTGCCTGCCTGTCCGTCTGTCTGTCCGTCCGTCTGCCTGTCTGTCTGTCTGTTTCTCTCTCTCTCTCTCTGTGTGTGTGTGTGTGTGTGTGTGTGTGTGTGTGTGTGTGTGTGTGTGTGTGTGTGTGTGTGTGTGTGTGTGTGTGTGTGTGTGTGTGTGTGTGTGTGTGTGTGTGTGTGTGTGTGTGTGTGTTTGTTTGTGGGTGTGTGTGTGTGTGTGGTCTCTCTGCACTCCTCCTCAAGTAAATATATTTGTGAGCAGTGAGTGTTGACATTTGGCCAGATCTGCTGAAGGTGGATGAAGTTTTTAGCTCCTGATGAAGAATATGAACTTTTTCTGCAGTGGATGTGTTTCAGTCGTCTCTTCTCTGAGTTTCATTGGAGATTTCAAAATTCCTTCAGTCACTTTACCAACAAGAGCTCTTTATTCACAGCAGCGCACTATTAGAGTCATAGATATAAGTCATAGATTATAAGTCAGATTATATTCATAGAGAGATGTGTAGAGAGAGAGCGCACATCAAAGCATGTTCTTTTTTGGAGCAAATCTAATAAAACGTGACGCCATTTTGGTTTATATCATCAAAAACCGTCGGGGATATTCAGAATAAGAATCACACAATTTAAGTCTCCGTTGTAGGATCACAGTTTGTCCTCAAAAAGCGCATTCATTATCATTTAAAATTATTATACTTTGCCATTATCTTTCAAACCACTTGATTATTTTTTTTTTTACTTCATTTCAGTTTATTTTTGCATTGATACACTCATAAAAATATATATATTTAAGTAAATTAAAAAAATTTTATATGCATTTTTGTTTAGATTTTTATTTTAGTTTTATCCTTTGTTAATGTTTAAAAAATAATTATATTTATTTTTATTTGATATTAATTTTTTTTTTAAATATTTTATTGTAATTAGAATTTTTATTATATATATATATATATATATAAATATATAATATATATAAGTTTTACATGTTTATTTAATTTAATATCTTTTTATATTTTATTTTTATATTTTATTTAAATTTTATTTTTGTATATTTTATTTTATATCTATCAATCTATCTATCTATCTATTTCTCTCTCTCTCTCTCTCTCTCTCTCTCTCTCTCTCTATATATATATATATATATATATATATATATATATATATATATATATATTGAGTTTTACATTTTATTTAATTTTATTATATATATTTATATATATTTTTTTTATTTTTTTATATTTAATTTTATTTTTATATTTAATTTATTTGTTTTACATTTTATTTAATTTAATATATTTAATATTTTATTTTATTTTTACATTTTATTTTAATTCAAATTTTTTATATTTTATTTTATTTTTATTTTTCATTTTTTTAGTTTTACACTTTATTTATTTTATTTTATTTTATTTTATTTTATTTTATATCTTTTTATTAGGCCCAGGGTTTATATAGGCCCAGGGTCAATTGCTTTATTCAACTATAAATATTTTTTATCCCTCCACATTTAATGATGCCTTGCAGCATTTATTTAATAATTTATTTATTTCAGTAATTCACATTAGTGACATTTAGTACATGTTGCCTTGTTGGTACACATTTTTAACACTGATTTATCTCATTGTACTTCATTCTCATAGTAAAGTGTATTCCAAGTAACGTTTTAAAGATTAAACCTAACCTAGAGTAATGAAATCTCACTCTTTTTGTGTGAGTTTGGTTTGTTCTCCTATACGTCACAGATCATTAGTTGTGGATTTGTGTGTTAAACAGCACTTTTCACATACACTTCCAAAAGCAATTTAACACAGAACAGTGATGTTAAACTCAATCCTACATCCTTTTGTAACAGCAACAGGTTTAAAAATACCATTAAGTTAAAACGGCGCTCCTTCCCTGAGACTTCGCATAATTGTAGAGTGTTCATGGATATGTTGATTTACATAAGAACAGCTATCATTTCCAGCATGATGAATGTGCTGTTTCTCCTCGTCTGGCAACATAGTCAAATTATAGCACTTCAGCAGACAGATTTCATTACAGATTTTTTAGTCTTTCTCCAGCTTGAAGATTTAGTTGCGCATGATTTAGACATTATTTTCATGCACTGGCTGATAAAAAGGTCAAAATGATTATGTGTCTTTAATCTGTACATTAAACCAGAACAACAGAAAAACACACTTTAACAGGTCATTCATCTTATTTCCATCTGATATTTTCATATCCAGAGTTCCAGACCATTGTTAAGGAGGTGTTTTACTTGGCAATCAGCAGCAATGTATATATCCTTTATTTATTTTTTAAAGCTAGCATTATTATTTTAGTTTTAGGAATCATTTATTAAATATCAGCTATGAAAAATAAAAATATAAATGTAATTTGTCTTTTGATTGTAGTAGATTGGCAGTTCATTCTGCTGTGGTGACACCGGATTAATGAAGGGACTAAGCCGAAAATAAAATAAATGAATGATATATATACATAATACATATACATAATATGTATATAATTTATTATTACTATTATTATTGTAGTTGTTGTTATCATTATTATTAATGCTATGACTAATAATAATACAAATCATAATTATATAATTGTTTCCTGAATTATTATTAGTAGTAGTATTTGTCACTGATTGTTCTTGACTGTTTTTCCCTTGATTTCGGGCTGTTATGAAGCGAGACAGACAGTGTTGGGGAATCATATTACCAGGTCACCTTTTATTATTATTATTATTATTATTATTACGCTACTACTAATAATAATAAAAAATAATAATTATATAATTAATTCCTGAATTATTATTATTATTATTCATCATATTATTATTATAATTATTATATTATATAATTTTAAAATGTATTAAATTTATTATTATTTTTTATTGCTATTACTAATAATAATACATGTAATAATTATATAATTATTACCTGAATTATTATTATTATTATTATTATTATTATTATTATTATTATTATTAATGCTACTACTACTACTAATAAAAAATAATAATTATATAATTGATTCCTGAAGTATTATTATTATTATTATTCAACTTATTATTATTATTATTATTATTATTATTATTATTATTATTATTATTATTATTATTATTCAGTTATTAAATATAATACTATTAAAATGTATTAAATTTATAATAATAATTATTATTATTATTATTATTATTATTATTATTATTGCTATTACTAATAATAATACATGTAATAATTATATAATTATTACCTGAATTATTATTATTGTTATTATTATTAAATAATATGAATATAATTTGTTGTTGTTATTATTATTATTATTATTATTATTATTATTATTATTATTATTATTATTATTATTATTATTATTATTATTATTATTGCTACTACTACTACTACTAATAATAATAATAATAATTATATAATTGTTTTTTGAAATACTACTACTAATAATATTTTTTAGTTATTAAAATATAATAATAATAATAATAATATTATTAGTAAAAACAATAATAATAATAACAATAATGATTATTATTATCATTATTATTATCATCATCATCATCATCATCATCATCATTATTATTATTATTGTTATTTCTTATTATTAAAATATAATAATATTGATAATAATATATATGTACTTTATTATTGTTATTGTTATTAATATTAACACATTATTAATAATAATTATATAATTGTTTCCTAAAACAATAATATGATTTTTATTAGTTATTATAATAATAATAACAACAACAATAATACTAATTGAATATTGATGGATATTAGACATATATTATTATTATTATTATTATTATTATTATTATTGATGGATATTAGACATATATTATTATTATTATTATTATTATTATTATTATTATTGATGGATATTATTATTATTATTATTATTATTATTATTATTATTAATAATGTTATTGCTGTTTTTACTATGAAGAAATATCAGGAAACAGAAATATATATAATTAAAAATGGTTTATTATTATAAATTTAATGAATATGAGAGAAATGATGGTCTTGTTGATCTTTAAACCAAACCAAGAAAGCAGAAAAACACGCGTCCATGCAGTGATTCATGCTGTTGTCATCTGAATGTTTTTCATATCCAGATCAGCCCATCACATGGTATTTTGCTGCGGCCGGATCATTTTTATCTGTGTTTTGATGCGTTTCTCTGTGTTTACATCACACACAAGGACGTTTGCTGCTTTATTTGAGTGTTCAGAACAGAAACAGCAAAGTTCAAAATTATTGCTATAAGAAACTATTGATGCTCAAAAATGACTCCTGTGCTCAAAATAAACCCTTATCGCTTTTCTCAAGGTCTGTGTGTGCTGCTGTGTATGTGTGTGATTATAATAGCCTCTCCTGTCTGCAGTTGTGAGACTCTGATTGTGTTGTTGTGTGATTGTGTGTGTGTGTGTGTTTCAGCTTCATCAAGCTGCAGAAGTGGCTCTCCTGAGAGGAGCTCGGGTCATTTCACCAGAGGAGATCATCTTCCTGATGAGGAAAGACAAGGTTAATGCACACAAACATGAGACGCTGCACAAATCATCATATAAAATGCTACAGTATATCCATCACTGACAAGAATTCATTGTTTGTAAATCCAAAATCAAACCAAAAAGTGCTTCAGGAGTAGTTAATGTGTCAGTGCTCTTTGGATAAGGGATTCAAAAAGATAAACCACGAAGTCATAAATCCAAGGAACACAAAAAGTAAGTGAAACATTTTTAAAAGCCTGTGCTATTCTTTGAAAAACATATACATGACTGTATATATACATGAAGCTAGTATGCTGCTGGAGGTGGTGTTAGTGGGGCCAGCAGGGGGCGCTCAAACTGTGGTCTGTGTGGGTCCTAATGCCCCAGTATAGTGACGGGGACTTTACACTGCTCAGAGAGTGCCGTCTTTCGGATGACATGCTTAAATCGAGGTCCCGACTCTCTGTGGTCGTTAAAAATCCCAGGATGTCCTCCGAAAAATAGTAGGGGTTTAACCCCGGCATCCTGGCTAAATCTGCCCACTGGCCTCTGTCCATCATGGCCTCCTAATCCTCCCCATATCATTATTGGCATATCATCACTCTGTCTTCTCTCCACCAATCAGCTGGTGTGTGGTGTGCGGTCTGGCGCAAAATGGCTGCCATCGCGTCATCCAGGTGGATGCTTCACACTGGTGGTGAATGAGGAGATTCCCCCCATTGTGTAAAGCGCTTTGAGTGCCCAAAAAGTGCTACATAAATGTAAGGAATTATTATTATTATTATTATCATTATTATTATTTGAAAACAGCACCTACTCGTTTTGGCAACACTTGCCTTCATCGGGGTAACAATGTTCAGGTTCGAATACTCTATGGCAGTGGTAGGCAACCTATGGCTCTTGATCCACATGTGGCTCTTTGACCAAAATTTATGGCTCTCTAGCTGTCCTCCTTTAAAATTATTTTAAAGTTAAAAAGAAAAACTATAACCATCACTAAAAATCTGTTTCCTATCGAAAATTCAATTAAAATCCCCTTTTAAATTGTAATTTTATACTGCACAATGAAACTCAGTTAACAAAAAAAGTTAAAGTCAGAAATATTAGCCCCTCTTTGCCGTGTTTTTTTTTTTTATATATATATATTTCCCAAATTATGTTTCACAGTATGTCTGATAATATTTTTTCTTCTGGAGAAAGTCTTATTTGCTTTATTTCGGCTCGAATAAAAGCAGTTAGATTTATTTTAAAACATTTTAAGGTCAACATTATTAGCCATTTTAAGCTATATTTTTGTTGATAGTCTGCAGAACAAACAACTGTTATACAATGACTTGTCTAATTACCCTAACCTGCCTAGTTATCATAGTTTAGCCTTTAAATGTCACTTTAAGCTGTATAGAAGTGTCTTGAAAAATGTCTAGTCAAATATTATTTACTGTCATCATGGCAAAGATAAAATAAGTGAAGTTTATTTATAAACTAATTTCGAGAGGATCACGTGCTTATGATCGTTTACAGCTTTTCCAACTTTAGGTCATGACTAATTATCCTATCAGGCAATCCTTAACTCACTATAAATAACCAGACTTTTCTCATCTCAATATCTTCGTCTTGAAGAAACCCCCCCACCCAACCCTACTTTCCCTCCTTTCATACGGGCAACATGGTGGCCAGTGATTAGAGCTGTTGCCTCACAGCAAGAAGGCCCCTGGTTTAATTCCCTTGCAAACCAGGCGACATTTCTGTGAGTTTTGTTCTGACATTTGAGCTTTGCTCGTTCTCCCCGTGCTCACGTGGGTTTTCCCCAGTCCTCCGGTTTCCTCCCACAGTTCAAAAACAAGCACCCTAAACAATTAATCCAAGCTGAGTACACCTTCTCATCATCCATATCTGACACTTAGCTACAATTAGCAAGGGGGGGGGGGGGGTCATCAAGATCTACCTGAGCTCAAACTCCCCTCTCGCCCTGCAATGGTTGGGAGCCCAGGGCTCGAGGATCCTATAAGCTCAGGGCTCTCTTCCGGGACAGCACGCCAAACAAGCTTTATTATGTGATGTATTATCAAGTGTGAACTCTTGAAATCAGTTATTAGAAATGAGTTATTAAAACTATTATGTTTAGAAATGTGCTGAAAAAAATCTTCTCTCCCTTAAACAGAAATTGAGGACAAAAATAAACAGGGGGGCTAATAATTCAGGGGAGCTGATAATTCTGACTTTAACTATACAACTATACAATTTGCAAAAAAAAAAACAGAAATGGCTCTTTGCTGAAAAAGGTTCCCGACCCCTGCTCTATGGTCACATGACTTAATTGAAAATACAAACAATACAGTATGATGCATCCAACAGAACAAAGACACAGAAGTCGCGGAAGGAGTGTCAGTCGCAAGTGATTTACATGTTATGCCAATGCAAAGACCCGAATAGACATCCTGCGGAGCGATACTTGCGAATGAGGTGTGAATGGCGCAAATTATGCAAATGAAGTGGCGAGAGCTGAGCATTTTTCACGATTGACACGCTTAATGCACGTTTCACGTGAATCGATCAAGTTCGAAAATCTGAACTTCAGCAGACATTCACGCTGCGTTAACCAATCAGGAGCTTTCTCTTGTAGGGGCGTGCTTTTGATATAGCGCCTGTTGTTGGTGTCTCGGGGGGGAAATCCTCCAGCCGACACCACACAACAGTTGATTAAACTGGGCTCGGCTCAATTGGACGCACCGCTGAAAACTTCCATCATCCAGGTATAGTTTCTGGAGGAGTTGATGAACTCACAGAGCTGGCTGCACCTCTGAAAGAATCTAGTGGACTCAGACACGGCTCCAAATAAATTGACGCAGTTTTTTCAGCCCTCATAAAGCACATAAACAGTTAATCTCTCAGTAAAATCCATGTTAGCCATTTAGCAACGAAGCTACAGTCACCAGGCAGACAGAAGCTCAGCCTATGAAGCAAATCCGTGTCTATTGCTCAGTGAACTTGACGCGCGAATGAAGCGAGTAAACTCAAAATGTTCACACGCTCGATTTATCCACGCATACCACGTCTGGTGTGAACAGCATAAGAGAGAGAGAAAGAAAAAAATGATCATGAATATCTTGTTTTGAGAATATTTAAACAATGAGCCTGTTTGTTTGTTTGTTTGTTTGTTTGTTTGTTTGTTTGTGTTCCATCAGAAAAAAATAAGGCGACTCTTCAAGTACATGCAGTTCAGAGACTACAAATCTAAAGTCCTGAAGACCATCGATGACGAAGACCTGCTGGATTCAGGTATGACGTACGCTCCTTTTCCACATCTCTGATTTGTACAAGTCTGACTTTTTGATAATGAGGAACATGAAACGTTTCATCATCATCATCATCATCATCGTCACAACAATCATTCAATGATCCATTTATGAGGACAGTCACTTGTTCCTATATACTACCTGACAAAGGTCTGATCGTTGATCCCAGTTGTAAGAGCAACAAATAATATGTTGACTTTTAGTTGATTATTTAGAACAGTGGTTCTCAAAGTGGGGGTCGGGACCCCCCGAGGGGTCGCGGGGCAATGAAGGGGGGTCGCCTGGTGATTTCCAAAAATCTATTTATTTTTATTAAACCATAAGAATTAACATATTTCATCCATAACTATACTGAAAATAAAAATTGTCGTTTATAGTTACTATATACTATATAGTTTCTATAGTAGCTTGTAGTTACTAGTTCTATTGGATTGCGACCCCTGGGGTAATTACATTATATTAAAGGCAGCAATAGCGTCTGATGCATTTTGATTTTATAACATCAGGTTATACTTTCTGGCACATTTAAAGCACTGACACAAATTTAATTGTTGTGTCTGCGTCATTGCATGCAAGGTTTCTGTATTTATAACCACCTCAGAGGATATTGGGGGTCGCGAGTCACTGGCATTGTTATTTTGGGGGTCGCGGGCTGAAAAGTTTGGGAACCCCTGATTTAGAAGGTGGATTTTTCAGATGAATCATCTGTCTGTCTGTCTCAATCATCACAAATACTGCAGAAGACCTACTGGAACCAGCATGGTCCCAAGATTCTCACAGAAATCTTCTGTAATATCTAGTCAAATATTATTTACTGTCATCATGGCAGAGAAAAAATAAATCAGTTATTAGAGATAAGATATTAAAACTATTATGTTTACAAATGTTTTAAAAAAAATCTTCTCCCCCTTTAACAGAAATTTAGGAAAAGTGAGATTAGATGCTCAGAGAACCATCCCCCCAATTTAATTGACTTAGTTATAGACATCTACAAGAACAAAGATAATAGAAGACTTGTTTCAAAATTGTATTCTGCCATCCGATCGACCAAGGAAGAATCAACAAATTATATCAGACTAAAATGGGAGAGAGAATCCAACCTAGTTATCTCAGAGGAAGATTGGTTGAATATCTGCTCAGTACAGACCACCTCTTCCAATTCTGGTATGTGGAGAGATTTTTGCTGGAAGAATCTTACCAGATACTTTATAACCCCCAAATTAACATACATGCAAACACAGGACAAGGACAGGGTGCAGTGCTGGAGGAAATGTGGAGAAGACTTGGCAAACCACTTTCACATATTTTGGAGTTGCCCAGCCATATTGGAAGGATGTAAAGCAAATAATACGTAATATTTTTGGTGATGATGTGGATCTTTCTTTTACAACAATTTATCTGGGAAATATTGCAGCCAACCTAACGGTAAAAGACAAGTACTTATTAAAAATACTCCTAGCAACCAGTAAGAAAACTGTGACTCGAAAGTGGCTACAACTGGAACCCCCTACAAAATATGAATGGTTGGATATCATATCTAATGTTCAAAATATGGAGAGGATGACCTTTTCTTTAAAACTACAAATGGACAAATACCTGCAATATTGGGAGAAATGGATTGTACTTATGCCTTTACACAGTGTAATCTGATTTATATATGTATCTGTTCATGTGACCTGTAAGGAAATATGTGACCTGTCAACCGTTCATTTAAGTTCTGGTGTTTTATTAGTATTATTTACTTACCTACTTCTTGTATTTTTTTCCCCCCTTGTTTTATTTTTATTTACTTATTTATTTATTTATTTTTCTTCTCTCCTTAAAAGTAATAAAAATAAAGTATAAAAAAAAAAAAGAAATTTAGGAAAAAATAAACAGAGGTGCTAATAATTTAGGGCGGCTAATAATTCTGACTTTAAGTGTATATGCAACCACAAAAGGACCCAGAAATGAGCCCTGAGCTACGCCACACTGTGTAGGAGCATGGAAAACGTACTTATTGAAAACATCTGAACATCACGGAAATTGCTTCTTTTTAACAGTGGGATAAAATGAAAATATTTCTGAAAGAGGATTCGCTGTTGATTCCCAACACAAATTATGTTATTGTTTTTTCATATATACAGTGTGTCGATTACAAGTGCTTTTTATTCATGTAAAACAGCGGTGGGTGAACTAATGACCTTCACGGACAATCACAGTCATTTCTGTTGAGCACTGGTGAATACGAATACTATGGCAGATCAGCTGTTTAAGAATGCACTCAGCGGCACTTGAATGTTAGCGAGAAATGGACTTCAATACCAGAACAACACTATTACAGCCAACACTAGGGTGTGCTTCAGAGGACTGCATTGTTTTATCACTCACCAGGTCACATAGGCTGAAGCAGGAAAGAGTCCACATGGTGTTTACCTTGTGCCATGAACTGAAATCTTGGAGTACACATTACCCCTCAAGGGATTGTGATTTAGTTTAATGCCTTATATGCTTTTAATTGTTTAAATTAAACTGAACTGAATCAAATTAAAGTGATGTTTACACCATATCTGCATTTTGAAATCGCAGCAACAGCTAGAGGTTTGTAATGCACAGAATGTTGTTGCAATGTTTACAGTAGAGCACCCGACCAGATTTCTTGCGGCGCGGGAATAAATTTCCAAATAAAGCGCGGGAGCGGTTGGTAACCGGTGGGTAACAGGAGCGGGCAGTCTAACAATATTACTGACGACTCCCGAGTGAGCGAGCATGCTTATGCAGACATCCCAAGTCTCCCGGAAGTTGCGGGAGTATCCCTCAAATCATAGACACTCCCAGATGCCCGCAAATGAATGATAATCTCCCGGAAATCGCGCGTCTCCTGCCCAGTCCTTAAATACGTTGCACACCCCTCACTCCACCGCATCCCTCCTAGCTCTTCACAACTCACCCCCACCGCTCTTCAAGTACGTCGCACTCAACTCCCACCGCTCTTCATGTACGTCGCGCGCACACGCCCCCCTATACTTAGATACGTTGCTCACTCACCCAACCCCCCACCTACTCAGATACTTCGCTCACTCAACAGACCCCCCCCTCTCTCAAACACCCAACATCCCGCTACCTCCCGCAAATTAACTCTGTATCCCCCGGAAATGACTTTTCCCAACTTGGGATGTCTGCTTATGTGTGTGTGTGTGAATGAGAGAGCGTGATGCTGTGTTTAGCTTGTTTGTTGCTGTCTATGTGTGTGTGTGTGTGAATGAGAGAGAGCATGATGCTGTCTGTGTTTGTCACTTGCTTGGTGCTTATTTGTGTGTGTGTGTGTTTATACAGACAGCTTGTATATGCTGTTCGGTTTTGTTAGCGGGTAGAAAACGGGGCGGGTCGGGCAGCGGGACAACAAATGCTGAATATAAGTGGGAGCGGTCGGGTTTGGACTGAAACCTGGCAGGAGCGGGCGGGAGCGGGATTCAAAATTAAGTCCCTCGCAGATCTCTACTTTACAGTACTGATCCTACACTTCAGGGTTTCTTCCCACCGCAGACTTGCTTTCATGTTTTAAAATGTCGGTTGTGTGAAATAAGCGTATAGAGCCTTGCACCACCGATGCCGATTCTGGTCCCTAATAATCTAACAGAAGAGAACCCAGAATTGAGCCCTCAGATACGCCATACTGCGTTGGAACATGGGAAACTAACATATTGAAAATATCTGAACATCATGAAAATGACTCCCTTCTAACAATGGAATAAAATAGAAACTTTTCTGAAAGAGAACTCTGTCTTGATTCCTAACCCAAATTATCATGTTATAATTTCATATATACAGCATTTTGCTTACAAGTACTTTTTTTATTCATATACAAGATTTAACCATTTTCCCTCATCAGGAAGAAAAGAGATTGTGATTTAGTTTAATGCCTTATATGCTTTTAATTGTTTAAATTAAACTGAACTGGATGATATTAAAGTGATGTTTACACCTTGTCTGCACTTTAAAAATCGTGGCTGGACTTTCTTACTCAAAACAATCTCATGGACAACAAGCAATCCGGCTTTAAGAAAGGCCACTCAACTGAGACTGCCCTGCTCTCGGTCGTGGAGGATCTCAGACTGGCTAAAGCAGACTCTAAATCATCAGTCCTCATTTTGCTGGACTTGTCAGCTGCTTTTGACACTGTCAACCACCAGATCCTGCTATCTACGCTTGAGTCACTGGGCGTTGCGGGCACTGTTATACAATGGTTTAGATCTTACCTCTCTGACAGGTCATTCAGGGTGTCTTGGAGGGGAGAGGTGTCCAACCTACAGCATCTAAACACTGGGGTACCTCAAGGCTCTGTTCTTGGGCCACTTCTCTTCTCCATCTACACATCATCTCTAGGACCAGTCATCCAGAGACATGGATTCTCCTACCACTGCTATGCTGATGACACCCAGCTATACCTCTCTTTTCATCCTGATGATCCCTCGGTTCCAGCTCGTATCTCAGCCTGCCTGTTGGATATTTCACACTGGATGAAAGATCATCATCTTCAGCTGAACCTCGCAAAAACGGAAATGCTTGTAGTTTCTGCCAACCCGACTCTACACTATAACTTTTCAATCCAGATGGATGGGGCAACCATTACTGCATCCAAAATGGTGAAAAGCCTTGGAGTAACGATTGATGACCAACTAAACTTCTCTGACCACATTTCTAGAACTGCTCAATCGTGCAGATTTGCACTCTATAACATCAGAAAGATCCGACCCTTCTTATCTGAACATGCAGCTCAACTCCTTGTTCAAGCTCTTGTTCTCTCCAAACTGGATTACTGCAACTCTCTACTAGCTGGGCTTCCAGCTAACTCTATCAAGCCTCTTCAACTGCTCCAGAATGCAGCAGCACGAGTTGTCTTCAATGAACCTAAACGAGCACATGTCACTCCACTGCTAGTCCGTTTGCACTGGCTGCCAGTTGCTGCTCGCATCAAATTCAAAACTCTGATGTTTGCCTACA